GCCCTCGAAGAAGTTCTCCAAGATCGTCTTCGTGCCCTCAGCATACCGCGTCTGCGCATCCAGAGTCGTCCCAGAGTAGTGAGGCGTCATCCCATTGCCTCCGCCAACAAGGCCCTGCATCGTCCGCCATGGGTGGTCCCGCGGCGCAGGCTGCACATTCCACACGTCCCCCGCGTATCCGCGCAGCTGACCGGAGCGCACCGCCTCCGCAACATCCTCCGCTACGCAGATTGCACCGCGCGCCGTGTTGACCAGCCATGCGCCGGGCTTGAACTTCGCCAGCAGATCCTTGTTGATCAGTCCGCGCGTGCCCTCGTGCAGGGGTGCGTTGACCGTGATCACGTCGCACTGCGACACAAATTCCTGATTTCAGACGTCAGCAGCGTCCTTGGCAAGTTCACCAACACAAAGAGGGACGTACCTCGATGTCTGTGACACGGCGCGCGCCGACAGTCTTCTCAGCCTCAGCAGGAAGCCCGTTGTAATCGTAGTACAGAAGCTCCTTGCAGTTGAATGGCACAAGCCGCTGCAGCACCCGGTAGCCGATGCGCCCCGCGCCGAGCGTGCCGACAACCTTGCCCTCCAGGTCGAACGCATTCCGCGCAATGTCCGACACCTGCCAGTCCCCGCGCGCCGCCATCTCGTGCGCAGGCACGAAGTTGCGCACCAGGAGCAGGATCGACATCATCACCTGCTCTGCGACCGAGACCACGTTCGACCCGGACACCTCGAGCACCTGGATCTTGCGATCGACAGCTGCATTGAGGTCGATGTGGTCTGAGCCGACGCCTGCGGTGACGCAGAGCTTGAGATTCTTCGCCTGGGGTGGCAGATCAGCACGGTATAGAAGCGAGTGATGGATCAGTCGTACCCTGTTCATGAGGTCGCGGGTGAGGTACCCAGGGTGGAACGGAGTGGTGATCAGGATATCGGTCTGTGATCATATTCAGGAACATGTCGCCAAAACGCGGAAGGGAGGGCACTAACATCGGCAATGTGCTTCTGGAAGTCGCTGTCGGGGCCCTCTTTCGAGCTCGTCACCTGCAATCACGTCAGTTCACGTTTCGGAGCGCTGTGACGCAGGATGCGGGACTCACAATGTATTCGTGACCAAGAGACTCGAGGTATTTGCGGATACCAAGCTCATTCTCGACAGTGCCGAGGAGACGGGGCTCAGCCTTGGCAGCCTGGAACCCGTTATAGAGGATGGCGAGGACCTATGTCATCGTAGAGGTGAGAACTTTCACCTGCGTATGCAGCCACTTCAAAGCACACCTTCATTATGATGAGATGCGTAGAAAGTTGAGTCTTGTAGTGTAGGCGAGAGGATTCGAGGATGTGCTTGCTGACTCTCGAATCCGCAGATCCCGACCCTTTTATACATGTCCTCGTCTCCGTGCGGAGAGTTTGAAGTAGATGTGAGCGTCGGTGGGTTCGGAAACCTTTGGAAGGGCCATTACGGTTGCAGTCTGGTGGTGGCGCGGCGCGTCGCCGATGTTCTCCATGTGCGTGAACCGCCGCAACAAGTTGAACCAAATTGGCGCGGGTCGGGCGTGCGCGTGCGGTGTCGGGTCGACGCGGAATGTCCCGCTGCACGTGGTCATCCCCAGCGGCGCCGAATGGTCCCGGGCTCGTTCCCGCCATCCTCCGATCCACTGGTAGACGCAGTGGCGAATCCGCCGCGAATCCGTACTCATCAGTGTGTCGAATTGCAGTGCTCCACACTCCGCTCAATCACGCGATACAGAAGCGTATCTCCATATTCTCCAATGACCTAGGCGACCCAAGGCAAGCTCCTGCACTGTGCGCAGCCGCATGTATAGATCGATGTTCACACAATTGCGTTTGCACACCAGACGCACGGTGAGGCAGACTCGATTGAACGCGGGTCACATTATTGAAGACTATGCACAGAATAATTGCATAGTACTTGGGGACAGTACATTGACTTATGAGCACCTAATGCCGTAATCCGAGAAGTCGTATGTCCCCGGAACAAGCACAGTGCATCCGAGGCGGTCCTGTATATAGAGATAGATCGATGAATCATAAGTCACGTATGGAATGCACGGTCAAGGGGAAGCCACCTAGTGCATTCAAATCGGTCATCCCACGTAACGCCTACTGAATTTAAAGCGAAGTACAGGGCCATCTTGAAACCACATTGTATGGGGCCGGGTGTTCGCTGATGCTGGAAGGGATGGACAGGATGACGGCACGAGAGGTGACCGGAATGCGTAGAGGGCGTATAAATATACGCAAAGGCTACTATTCATCCGTCTTCGGGGCCAATCGTGACAGACGGCCGGGAGGTTCTCTGACTTGACGTCTGGAGCGTGTTGTTCCAGTGATGGCTATTTCAGGCACGACAGGCGTCGGGAACGGGGGAAACATCGTATGGAGGTGTCTGCGTCGAAGTGTTGGATGCGAGAGGTGTTTCTTCGGCGGAGCGTCCTGTCATGTCAGAGTGATGCCCTAGGTCCGGATGTTCCTCCGCCGGACGCGCAGCAGTCGGAGTCTGGACAGCACCTGCGGACGACAATGTCGTAATCGACGTGGTACCTGCGGAATGGTGGTCCGGAGGGACGATGCCATGGGAAACCTGCACAGGCGCCGGGAGGACCTCTGCAATCCGGGAAGCTTGCGTCGAGTTCTGAGGGACCGCCTCTTGTCCGGTTTCGTGAGATGTACTAACGGTAGGTGTATGCGAGTCTGGGGAGACGGGATGGTGGAGTGGATCGGCGCAGCGGGGAAATTGGGTGTTAGGTGGGGTATGTTGTCCTGGTCCGATCAATTCCCTGGACACGGACAGCGCAGCTCCCGTTTCTGGATGCAAGGCGACGAAGACAGGGGTAATGTTAATGAGGACCTCGCGCATGTCTTGTCTCTGAGAGTCTGGCTCCCCCTCGTCATCAGCAACGGAACACGCTTGATTCCATAAAGAGCAGAATTCGTGCTGCAACTCAGGCAGAGCTGCTGTAGCATCGAAAGCTAGCAATGCTGCCAGCCACTTCCTAACAAGAAACCTGCGGTTGAGCCAATAAGGCTCTAACATCCACAATCGAGTAAATCGAATAAGGTTTGCGAGCGGCAAGCTGTCACCGTGTACGAGGTATTCCTGCAGGGTAGGTTCCGAGGCGTTGAGGTGGCTGGCCATGACTGGGAGCCATCGATGGTCGGAGTGCCCTATAGCCTTAGTGAGAGAGGCGGTGATGAACTGGGCAAACAGTCTGGTTTGAGGATCCGCATCGTCCGTGCACTGGCTCGCATAGATTCCGAGCTCGATCCAGATTGGACCCTCTTCAACGCGCATCATGTGGAAAGTATCCGCGGCCATGAAAACCCGCTTGCGCACCGCAGGGAACAGTCTCAGCGCCTTAATGCATATTGCGCTCCTTCGTTGCTTTACGTGCTCGGCGATAAAGTCTGACGTCAACGAACGCCCCATAAACGAGAGGATCGAAAATCCCAGATGATTGAGACTTGTCAGGCCGTCGAGAGCACGCTCACTCGAGTAGACTTGCTTCGAGCTGTGAAAGTCTGGAATGCCCGCCAGAAATTGCTCTAGTTCGTGATCCTCATCCAAAGAAGAGAATGTCCAGACGAGAGCCCGGGATAGGTTCCTTACGGACCAGAACCGGGCGACAGCTTCGGCTTCTGAGACGATGCTTGTCACGTCGCGGCGGTCCAGAAGCTCGTAGGAGCGGCGATGGCGCCGTGCCTCGGCACGAACGAGGCGATTCCAGACGTGGCTTGCGCCAACGCTGGCCAATATCACGAGATTCCGCATCCTCAAAATGCAGGGCCAGAGGAAATTGGATAGCGGCGTATAATATGGACTGTCGTGGCGGACCAGAGGCAGGATGGTAACGCAAGCATAAAGAGCGACGCATGACGCGACAGACGAGAGGACGAAGGCGAACACGGTGCGGTTGGTTTCGAAGAGGAACACAACCAATCCGGCGAAGAAAAGGAATACCGACGCGTGCAGAAGCCCGGGTAGTGCTTCAACTACCGAAGGTAGATAGAGTCTCTCTACGCCGTCTGCAAAGAGAGCCCGGATATATGCTCGTCTGTAAAGACTGTAGCGTGGTTTGGTCACTCGAAGGTATCGACGCGCCCATTGTTGCAGCAATGTCGCTAAAAGCGCACATGTGAGGCTGACGACGAGGCTGAGGAACCAGAGTACGTTTACGCAGACGGCAGATGCAGATGGAGAGAAAGAGGACGGGTTTGGAAGGGGGGAGGAAGGGAGGAGGGTGGATCCATTGGAAGTGCCGGTGACAGTTTGTTGATAGATTTGTGAGAGATAGAAGGCGGAAGCGTCCTGCGAATTCGGCACAAGGCCTGGTAGGAAATCCCGATGAATGTAGCGACAGTCGCAGAGAACAAGCCGGTCTACAGCGAATGTGTCAGGACAGATGCACGTCGTCTCGAATTGAGGCCATACTCACGAAGACGAGGATACCATCTGCATCACCCTTCCAGCTGTCCGTCATTTTCTTATCCTCTTCTTCCGCTCGTTCCAGATACATGGACAGAAGCGCGCCAGATCCGTCCGCAAAGCCCGACCCTGTGTAAGATGCTGAGCCTGGTCCGGGTAACGGCGACGTTGAGTCGATGTTGGCACTGTCGCGAACGGCTGGATGTTCTGTCATTGGTCATGAGCACAGGATATGGCCCACTTTAAGACCACAGCCCACCTGCATCAGTTTTCTGACGAGATGCATCCTCAGCCAGGAGATCAAGATCAATACTTTGGGACATTGTGCCAGCCAGGCAGAGGTTCGGTAGTTATTCGACGGCGCTAGCGGCGGGTGACTTCTGAGCGAAGCACAGCCTACAGCGGCACTGCTGCGATAAAGCAGCGGTAGGGATGCTGCCCTATTGACGAGATGGAGCGCAAGAGTACAAGATAGAAGTATTGTCGAAGTGTGTATAGCAGCACGGCACAAACCGTCGCGAGGCCTTGGCTCAGGGATATTGATGCAGAAAAATAATTCCCATTAGCCGACTTGAACGACTGACCTCGTCATGTGATACAACTCGATGAGTCATGTACTAGTGACGCGCTCTACCAGCTGAGCTAAACGGGACTTGGCAACGTGTCCCAGATGGCTTTACTCAAATACTTCTACTCATTGATCTCGACTGGTTGCGGGGGCGCCCTTCATCATTTTAATTGGTTCCCCTCCGACTACCACTTGCGATGCGACCACACACACCTTGTCTACAACTCTAAGTTTTGACCATAATGTCCACAAACGAAGGCATCAAATTGGTGAACGAAGGACCGCGCTTGCCCGGCCATGCATAGATATGCATCCTAAAGATGTGGGCTTCATTCTGCCGACCTACAATCGGCAATGTCATCAGGAAATCGGCATTTTGGATAGGTCCGGAGCGCTCTCCACCATGCACTTGCAGAGAACGGGGAAACGCTGACGAAGAGCGGAATTTGAGCGACGCGGATGTGTTCGTTTTTTTTATCAGATCTCATGGCTTGGTGTCCTGCGCCGCGTAGGGAACTGGTACGCCTTAGAATCTTCACCATTACTGCAGGGGGGAAGTGACTAGAGTTATGTACCCTGTCACTCCATCGCCCCCGGCACCTCTTTCACAACCGGGTGGTGACTCAAGGGGACGTGATCTCTCGGTGTATTGGTGAGTTGGCGCCTGCCACTAGGCTGCTAAGTCTGCAACTTTCCGCGAGACGTTGTCTCGTAACACTCGACTGGTCACTGGACTCGGAGAGTCCATGCAAGTTGACTCCGAAATTCCGGGCGGTGCGCAGCCAAACCTCTTACAATCCCCTTGTGGCCCTCTTTGTGTAATAGATGCGCGATCCATGGGTGCACTCCGTCTCTCGGTCGCGCCTCGTTTCCTGTGAAGTTCCTCCGATCCTTAGGTTTGCGCATCCTATCGTGCGAATACACTGCAACGGATAGGGAAGCTGAACACATAAAAGGACGGTCGATAACGACGATAGTACCCTTGTCAATTCGTCAACCTACCTGCCAACACACTTCCACTCACATGGACCAACTCACAGGTATAGACGAAGACTTGCAAGTCACCAACCACCATGAGTGCGCATACTTCTAGCTGCCTACATCGTATATTCTAACGCACACGGGCAGCGTGTACCCTGCCATTGATCCGCAGACACACTACGCGGCCCAGACGTACAGCGGAAAAGTGGTCCTCGTCACAGGTGCTTCTCGGGGTATCGGGCTCGAAATTGCAATTCAGTATGCACGCGCCGGCGCCGCTCTTTCACTCGTAGCGCGCAAGCAAGAGACGCTCGACATAAGCCGCGATGCAGTCCGTGGCGCGGCTCCGGACACGCAGATCCTCTTGCTCCCCGCAGACGTGCGTGATGTCCGGCGCGCGGAAGAAGTGGTCGCTGCGACGGTTGCGCAATTCGGGAGACTCGATGTTCTGGTGGCGAATGCAGGGGCCGCGCGTCCGATGACCGCTCGTAAGGCTCAGCTTGCTCCCACATCTTCGTACCGGCTTATGCAACGGCGCACCCCTAGCTTTTGCGTCGAAAGACCCGTCCACTTGGTGGGACGTCCTCGAGACCAATATCCGGGGCGTCTATAACTACGTACAGTGAGCACCACAGCCCAGCCACCTGCAACTGATGACAGCGAGCTGAACGGAATTGACCATAGCTTCTCCCTTCCGGAGCTGGCGAAGACAAAAGGCTCTGCAGTGATCATCACCTCTGTCGCTGCGCAAGCCAGGCTGAGATTTGCGAGCGAGTACTGCACCTCGAAGCACGCGATCGGCCGGTTTGCTGAGTTCGCTGCCAGTGGTCAGTCCGCCCAGTCCCTGGTGTCGACGACGTGATCTCACCTTCGTGCTATCATAAGAGAATCCCGATGTCAAGGTATTCGCTCTCCATCCGGGAGTAATCAAGACAGAACTCGGCGACTACGCGCAGCACGGCGTGCCCACTGAAGATGCTCTGGCGTTGCCTGCTGCCACGGCTTTGCATTTGACCGCGGGGAAGGCAGACTTTCTGAGCGGAAGGTTCGTCCCAGCTGGATGAGTTAACATCCTGAAGCATAATACTCATGGCCCTCAGATACGTTTCTGCACGTTGGGATCTAACTGAAGTAGAGCGGGATTGGAAGGAGAAAATCGTGGGGCAGAATTTGCTGGTCAGCAAGTTGGCTGTACCCCTGAGCCAGGGATCCCGCGAGAGTGAACAGTCCGACGTCGTGAAGGCGAAGTACTAGACAGCTCGATACTTGTAGTACTGACTCCCGTGACTATGATGGGCATGTCGGGGCAATGTGTTGCAACTTCAAGTTCGGACCCACAGTTCCGAGTTGAACCATGTGGCCGATTATTTGTGCCGACGATGGTCCTGTTTGGCCTTGTGTCGGAACCGCGGGTCCGAATCAACTGCCAGCGCCCTATTCAGCGCGCGCCATCTTCGTCTGACCGCGACCACTCTACATCAGCTCCACTATCTAGCTCAGGCCCTTGAAAACACACTGACACGGTTGCAGGCAACTGTTCTTCTATGCTCGGCCTTCTCTTTGTTCCGCTGCTATTTGGAAGCGTGGCTCGCGGCGTGGCGCTCACTGGCACTCGTAGTTCCTGGTCCGATCCGTACAGCCTCCGCCCCAACCCACTCTACCCTTACGCTCGCTCTCTCGCTGCTCATTCTTCAGGCGACACGTCCCTTTCTGGCTCTCGGTTCTGGAAAAACTCTGATCCTCCACCTTCTCGTACCCGGGCTTCTGACTCGCAAGTGGGGCGGCAGCGCCGCCAGGATGCGTCTGAGGCTACGCAGGTGCAAGATACAAGACCAACGCCGGAGCCTACTGGCGATCCATCGCCCGCGACAACAGTCCATATCACAACTGCCAAAGATTTCGCACTTCTGCTTCCTACGCAACCCGGCGGTGAGCATATCTGGTCGTGACTGTGTTGCTCTCATCAATCTTCGTCAGAGCTTGTGTCGGACGCAGAGGCGGATGGACAGGCGTATTGCACTCCCGAAAGTGCATCGGACTCCTGCCACTTCACCATGCCAGAGGGCCTTATCACCGCCTCCTCCATGCAACAGTCCGACGACGGCTCATGGATCCAGGTGCGTGGTTCATTTGACCCATCGTGGCGCCTAGCCCGCTGAAGGTGTCATTTAGGTGACCGGCTGCCTCGACGCATCTAAGTTCCACTTCGATCCGAACGACTCCGGCGGGCAGATGGACGTCCGATTCCCGAACGGGGCGCAATGCACATTCGGCGGCTATGGCGCGAGCTTCATCGAACTGTGCGTGATGTCATCATCGAGGATACTTATGCTGACACTGGGCAGGGTCGAGCCAAGATTGAACCGTTTCTGCTTGCGCTGCTGCAGCTCTGCCAACGATCAAGTCAATTGCAATTCTCACCAGGACCGTCTTGGATGCGAGAATGCTGTCCCAGGTCAATATGATTTTCCAGACCTTGGCGTCAGCTGCGCGTGAACCCTCCCGGAGTCACGCTGATGTGTTTACGACCTCCTGACACGATATCCATTGTATCTCATTACTCACATATCTACCCTGATGTGCACTCTACTCGTGAAATGATGCATTACGAACCCTGCATGTAGCCTGAATCATGCAAACTGTCCAAGAGCGTCGTGAGAATGTACAAAGCTTATGAGCGCTGAGGTAGGCAGCTGGCAGTGCTTGGCTTGTGTTGAACGTTCATCTCTTTCGGAGCCGGGAATGGCTTTGTGAGCGAGCTACCAGCTCCCGTTTAGCTCAGCTGGTAGAGCGCGTCACTAGCATATGACCTGCATTGGGCTGTCGGCGTATCACATGACGAGGTCAGTCATCCAAGTCGGCTAATGGGAATGTTTTTTTTGGGTCCACCCGGCTCGACTCCTTCAAAAGAGATGACCGCCATGTTGCAGCTTTGCCACTGCTCCCAGGGCCGTTCTGACGAAATGGGACACGACCTGCACGGCTCTATTCACCTGGCGTCTTCTACCATTACCGGAAACCTACTCCTACCTTTTCCGCCTAAGTTCCGCTCTTGACCGTTGGGGCAATCCTTCAAATTTAGAACCTCTTCCGTGGCACAATTTCCTTGGACGTCAATATGCACTTCATGGCCTCGAGGCCCAAGGCAACCCCCTACCCCCATGTCCTACAGCATACCTGGAGATGTTCAACGCGACGGCTCCGCCGATGACCGCAATCGCGCGCCCCGTGGAAACGCAGAAACACGTACGCCTCACTCCCCTTGACTCTGTACATAAAATTTACTTTGTGCTCAGGCAACCAAGGAATTGAGGACGCTTTCCATGGACGCAATCAAACCTCCAAGCCAGAACCCCATGCGGAGACTTGCTTCACAGATGGATCCGGGGCACTCTTTTCGATGTACCTAGAACGCGCGGAGGAAGAAGACAAAAGGATGACAGAAAGCTGGAAGGGTGATGCGGACGGGATCCTCGTTTTTGTAGGCAGAACCATGATCTGTTCGACTCCCCGTCCTCACCCCGATGACTCCCAGACCGGCCTGTTCTCGGCCACCGTCGCAACATTCATTGGGATCTCGTTCCCAAGCCTGATGCCCAACTCTCAGGATGCATCTGCCTTCTACCTCGCCCATATCTACCAACGCACCGTCTCTGAAGGCTCCAATGGCACCGTCCCCCCTCTACCATCGACACTCTCCGATCCTTCCGCCTTCTCTCCCTCCGCGTCCGCCATCTGGGTGAACACTCTGTGGTTCCTCAGCCTTGTCATCAGCCTAACATGCGCGCTTCTCGCAACCCTGCTGCAGCAGTGGGCTCGGCGGTATCTCCGGGTCACCAAGTCACGGCGCAGCCTCCATAAGCGCGCGTACATCCGCGCACTATTCGCCGAAGGTGTGGAAAAACTCCGCCTGCCATCGGTAGTAGAGGCGCTCCCCGGCATGTTACACGTGTCTGTGTTCCTCTTCTTTGCCGGGTTGGTTGTCTTCCTGTTCGGAGTCAACAAAACCGTCTTCGCCATCGTGATCGTGTGCGTTGGGACGTCTGTCGTCCTATATATGTGCATCAGCATCATCCCCCTTGTCCGTCACGACAGCTCATATTACACGCCTCTCTCCAACTTCTTCTGGTTTTGCGGCGTCAAAAGTCAAAAATGGGCCCTATCCATCGGCGCTGGTGCCAAGGACGTTTGGAAGACCTTCAGGGGAACCAGGGCGCAGAGTCGACGCTATCATCGCGGGGCTCGTTCGATGCAGCAGCATGCGGGGAGCATAGTTCGGGAGGCTGAGCGTCTCGCCGAGAACAAGTCGCACGCAACCCTGTCCCGGGCCCTCCAGTGGACGTTTACCTCCTTGGACGAAGATAACGACATAGAATATTTCTTGGCCGGGATCCCTGGGCTGTATAGCTCGAAGGAAGTCAAAAGGCCATCAGAGGTTCTCTCGCTCTTGACGAATGTCACCATTGCACTTCCAATCCTCGACTTCATGGACCGCTCGTTGACTTCCGACTCGATCCCCGATAGCGTGAAGCACAGGAGGAGCGCAATTTGCATCAAGGTCTTGCAGCTCGCACCCACGCTGCGTATGTGGGTCTTCCAGAGGGCCTTCCTCATCGCAAGCACGGGCGTCTCAAGGTGGATCGACCTAGGGATCTACGCGGAGCAGTGCAGCAACGACGCGGACCCTCTCACCCGATTCTTCGCCCACCTTGTCAGCGCTACGTTTACAAAACGTATATGTGGATCCGACCGTCGATGGGTCCCCGTCATACTGCGCCAGCTCAAGATATCGGAGCCTGTTCTCCAAGAGTACCTTGCGCACGGCGATAGCCTTTTGCTCGCCAGCTTCGTCCGACTCATCCGATCATGGCTCTCCGAGCCCTCCTGGCTCGAATGCACCTCCTTACTGGAGGCGCAGATTGGCCTGATGACTCTGATGGAGTTCGATGCTACCGACGCCCTGCCGGCGCTGCAGCATGACTTCTGTACCCTTTGGAGGCAAGCACTGTCTTTGGTCAACGACGAGCACGCGCCAGAGCCCGCGAGGAAGAACGCGCGCTCGGTGCTCAGCGGCATCCTCCCCGTTTTCAACGTTCTGCATCCCGTCACGGACGCGACGGTTCAGGTTCCCCCCGATTCCGCGAGGAGCCATCTGTTTTCGCCGCAAGCGACGTCAATGCCTCTTTGCACACACGCCCCTCCAAACGACGTTCTGTCAAACGCGCTCCCGTACTCTATGCATCCCAACGTGCCCACTATCTCATTTTCCGAAACCCATCAATCTCCCCTGCCAGAGACCGCCATCCACGTTCCCGAGGGTCACGGGGTGCTCTTCCCTGTCCCGATACTGGCACAACCCAGCGACCCGCAATTCAACCTGCCGCTCTCTTCGCCACAAGTTTCCTTCCTGCCGCCTCCATACCCCGTATCTGCTAATACGAGGCAAGGTCCCATCAGCGAGCCGTTAGCAGATGACCGTACTGCCCGAAGGCGCGCTCCGCCTAGGATATCCACTGGAGTCACGTCCCCCACATCCGGTACCCTAACGCAGGTTGCATCATCTGCCATAGCTCATTCGCATGGATTTCCCAACGCGATGAGCGCAGGGAGTAATCGGAACCTCCGTGACACGAAAGAAGCAACGTAGCTCTCGCATCTACAGGCGTCCTTCATTTGGGTCGTCGCTCTAAACGAACCAGAGTTTTTCGGAATGTATCCTCTTCTAGCGCACATGTACCCTTTCTGCGTGTCGCGGTTGTCCCAGCGGTTGTCCGCACGAGTAGTACTTTTGTATCGCGTCATGCACAGCGTCCCCGTGCGCAGCCCCAATCGTAGCCATGCGGGACCGGGACCTGTCGGGAGTTCCACCTACATGGAGACTTGGCATGATCTTGAGGCGTGCTTGACTCTTCTTCTCAAATTCTCCCAGCGTGGCATCCCACGCGGACGGGTCCGCCTCGAAATCAGGCGCAGGGAGACCGAGACGCCCATCCGGTCTGAGCCACGGCCTCTTCGGGGGACGACGGAAGGGCAGTTGGCGCTTGGTAGATGTGGTCACGTGTTCCGGGACATCCCGCCGCCCGCGTCAACCCGGCGCGCGCCATGGACTTCCGGAAGTCGCTCGCGCTCCTTCATACGGAACCTCATCGGGGCGACGCGCAGTGCCGTCACCTATGTACAGCGACGCTCCTTCCAAGGCCTCCCGAGATCATTGGCGCTTTCTCGACTTCGGGATCGCCATGAAGAACCGTCCAGGTGTATAAAAGGGACTCGGGTCTGGCAGTCGAATGTCAGAGCAACAGTCCTCTCTTCCACACCAAACAACACAACTCTCCAATCTTCTCTTACTTACTTTCGCAACACCAATGAAGGTTAGTCTTTTGGCGTCTTGATGTAGATACAGCGCTGATATCAGCTCTGCAGGTCCTCGCTATCCTCTACAATGGTTTCCAGGCTGCCAAGGCTGAGCCCCGTCTCCTCGGCACTGTCGAGAACGAACTTGGTATTCGCAAATACCTCGAGTCTCTTGGTCATGAATATATCGTGAGTCTCGCATTCTGCGTCATAGCGCGTTGAAACGTGGATTGACACAATTGCAGGTGACGAGCTCGAAAGAGGGCCCCGACAGCGACTTCCAGAAGCACATTGCCGATGTTAGCACCCTTCATTCCGCGTTTTGGCGACATGTTGCTTAACATGATCATAGACCGATATCCTGATCACCACTCCGTTCCACCCTGGATACCTCACCCGCGACCTCATGAACAGGGTACGACTGATCCATCACTCGCTTCTATACCGTGCTGATCTGCCACCCCAGGCGAAGAATCTCAAGCTCTGCGTCACCGCAGGCGTCGGCTCAGACCACATCGACCTCAACGCAGCCGTCGACCGCAAGATCCAGGTGCTCGAGGTGTCCGGGTCGAATGTGGTCTCGGTCGCGGAGCAGGTGATGATGTCGATCCTGCTCCTGGTGCGCAACTTCGTGCCTGCGCACGAGATGGCGGCGCGCGGAGACTGGCAGGTGTCTGAGATCGCGCGGAATGCGTTCGACCTGGAGGGCAAGGTTGTCGGCACGCTCGGCGCAGGGCGTATCGGCTACCGGGTGCTGCAGCGGCTTGTGCCATTCAACTGCAAGGAGCTTCTGTACTACGATTACAACGGGCTTCCTGCTGAGGCTGAGAAGACTGTCGGCGCGCGCCGTGTCACAGACATCGAGGTACGTCCCTCTTCGCGTTGGTGTACTTACCACGAACGCCGCTGACATCTGGAATCAGGAATTTGTGTCGCAGTGCGACGTGATCACGGTCAACGCACCCCTGCACGAGGGCACGCGCGGACTGATCAACAAGGACCTGCTGGCGAAGTTCAAGCCCGGCGCATGGCTGGTCAACACGGCGCGCGGTGCAATCTGCGTGGCGGAGGACGTTGCGGAGGCGGTCCGGTCCGGTCAGCTGCGCGGATATGCAGGGGACGTGTGGAATGTGCAGCCTGCGCCGCGGGACCACCCATGGCGGACGATGCAAGGCCCGGTCGGTGGAGGCAACGGGATGACGCCTCACTATTCTGGGACGACGCTTGATGCGCAGACGCGGTATGCCGAGGGCACGAAGACGATCTTGGAGAACTTCTTCGAGGGCAAACCGCAGGAGCCTGGCAATGTCATTGTCGGCACTGGGAAGTACGAGAGCACTTCATGTGAGTATCCCCCGTCTCTCGTCTCAGCATTGCACTGCTAACGAGCCTGCGAATAGACGGTCAGCGATAAACTTTCACCGGGACTTGGGAACATTGTATGCATAGGGGTATTCTAGAAATGTTGCGCGATATGTAGACTGCGCACCATATAGACTAATGATTCGTGACCGAACTGCCCTCGAGCGACGAGCTTGGACTGTCAAAAAGACCATGGCCAGCGTGGGGATCGAACCCAAGACCTTCGCGTTATTAGCACGACGCTCTAACCAGCTGAGCTAGTCGGCCGTTGCGCTGCCTTCCTCCGTTGTCCGCAGCGGCGCGGAAGGCCTGCACCAAGCCTCATGGCCTCGAGCCAAAGTCTAACATCAACTCGGAAGCTGGCGCGCGCTCGCGCCGAGTTCCACCACGACGGCCATCACACGCGGGCGCTCGCCGCCACATTCGCGAACAGTAGATACTATTAAATTTCATCGAGTAGCGATACATGACAGCGCCGCCGTGCACCGAAGCAGAGGCGGTTGGCACAGGCAGAGCGGGGACGGGGATGGAGAGCTAGGACGGGGATCGCAGAGCAGAGTTGGGTGAGAGGAGAACGCCGGAATACGGGAGAGTAGAGGAGATGGAGAAGAGCGGAGAGAGGAAAGGGAAGGACAGAGGGGAGTGGAGATGATACAGATCAGAAATACAGAGGGTGGTACAACAGGAACAAAGGCGGCAGGTCCATGATACATTTTGCGGGGCGGCCGGCGTCCCCAGGGCAAGTCCATTGGAGTCCATTGCGCAAACAAGGTCCGCAGGCAGATATCTTGAGTCTTAAATCTTACTAAGGTACTTACGCTCTCGCTTGGGCGGCAGTCGGCCCTCTAGATGAAGCGCACGAACCAGACGTCTTCGCCGGTCGCGGCGCGCTGGAGGCCCGCGAAGGTGGTGCGGCCGCCCAGGAGGTCGAAGCGCCGCAGGCCGGCAGGGTCGGGGGTGATCTTGTTGCGCTGGGCAAAGCTCGCAGACGCCGCCTGTCTGTGGTTCTCGGAAGGGAGGCGGGTGTAGTCCGTCTGGCTGGCACGCTCGGACAGGGTCGCGTGGATTGCGTGGAGAACCTCGCGCACAGTCACGGCGTGGCCGCGGGCGCTCTGTGCATAGAAGCGCATGAGGCCAGGAATCTCGAGAACAAGGCAGGGCGCATGCGTCGAGATGGCAGGCTCGTTGATCGTGTTGGGGTTGCAGCTCGGGTGGAGGCAGGACGAAGAGGGAGGGTGAACGGCGTTGAAGTTCAACTTTGCGGAGCGGTGGCCGGTGTAGACGAGCAGCTCACTCAGCATAGCAAGTCTGGAAGTCTCAGGGCTTACGGGGGGTGTGGGCAGAGCATCTGCGCAAGGGTGCCCGAGATTAGCTTTCCGATGACGATGGAGAAGAGACAAAAGCTAGATGGACGCACGGGATTGGATCGCCGGGAGTGGCACGGTGCCCATGTGTGGCGCACCCGGGGTCGAGGGCATTTGGGATGCGTACGGGTACCCGGAGTACGTCGCGGCCGACCTAGCGGACCCCGGGGGAGTCGGGAGACTCACCGTGTTCATGGCCGGGGTTCTGGGCTGCGGCACGCTACCGCTCGAGGCAGTCGTGCCCGTCAGCGTGTTCATAGACCATGCGGGGCTGGACGCGTAGGAGGGTGTGTAGTGCTTCGAGGAGCGGGAGGAAGACATTGCGATGAGTCAAGGTGAGTCAAGAGACGGGGGCGGTGAGCGGGCTCGGATGCGAGGGCGAGGGCGGGGGCGAGGGCGGGAGAGCGGCGGGGGCCTGGTGAATTGACTCTCCCGACGCGCCGGGGGTTATATACGCGCCCCGACATGCTGACCTCAATAGACGAACACAAGGCGTAACAAGCGTCGGCGAGGGCGGCGGGGGCGGCGCGGCGGGAAAGGGGCGGGGCTATCAAGCGAATGAGGGCACAGGAAGGCAGGGCGGAGGGCGACGGGCGCGGCACATGGCCCCGCAAGCGCCAGCGAAGCGCTGATCGATCCCTGATGGCGCGCCTCCCGACGTCGGGATATTCCCAGATATGGAAAGATCGCGCCCGCCCTTCTCACCGACCATCCCAGTTGATCGCTTCGCTGGCGCGCCTCCCGCCGTTCCCGCCCCCAGCCTGCTTCTTCCGGAACACGTTTATGGGGAGCCTAGTCATCATTCTTCCATCAGCGCGTCTTTTTCCTCATCGATGCATTATCGTCACCTGGGTACTATTATTCACAAAAATACCGTGTGTGGCGCGTCGGAGCTTCTTGCTGACTCCAAACCAACTACAGATTCTGCAAGTCCGACGCTCGAGAACCAATGATCTATTTGGTTTTGAGAGGTGTACAAACGGCGCTTCAAGCTGTGCGTGTACTTACACGGCTAGGTGTGGCAGGGTCAGGAAGCGCGCCGGCTGGCGGGTGGGGCGGACCTGGGGGCTGTGGCACAGAGCTTCGATGCCCTCGACCGTCCGCCTAGGTATACTCGGCCGTCCGCCTTTGGGTTGCACTGTCCGATGCGCACAATTGCAGTCGGAGGGTAGAGTCAGAGAGGGGTATCAGTATCTAGTCAAGGGTAGCCTGGAATATTACTACATGATGCGTACTCTACTTTCAGGAAAGCTGATGGAATAAGGATACAAGAAAGCCTCACCGCAACCTCCCCATCTCATGCTGCACCACCTCTGCCCACTCCGAGACGTCCTCCGCGGGCACAGGTTCCTCCTTGCGTTTCCGCCCCCGCCTCTTCGCCCCGCCACCGACGCCACCCTCGTACGTCATGCCCGACGTCTGCTGCGCCAGGTGTTTCACCTCCGCGAACGAGTCCGTCGCCTGTGCGCGCAGGAATGCCGCGCTGTCCGCGCGGTGCCGCATGAAGTCCGGGGCCTCGTACCCGGGGATGCGCTCCCACGCGCCCTCCTGCGCCTGCGCCTGCGGCAGCATCGGCCGGCCGTCCGCCCAGAGCGAGCCGCGCGTGCGCTCGAGCACCTGCTGGATGTCGAGCGACTGGCCCGGCGGGACCGGCGTCGGCTGCGACGGCGTGACGCACGGCATGTCCGTCTCCTTGCGCAGCACGTGGTCGACGTCGACCGCGGAGAAGAAGGCCACGCCCTGGGGAGGTCGTCCATGCCGAGCCGGTACGCGAACACGCTGCGCGTCCACAGGTTCGCGACCTGCAGCGCGAGCGCCGCGCGGTAGCGGTCCGCCTCCGCGACGAGGTAGCGCAGCTCGTCGTGCACGGAGATGAGGTAGCGCGCGCGGATGCCGTACGTCGCGATCAGGTGGTCCATTGCGACGATGAGCAGGTGCAGGTAGTCCACGCCGGACGACTGCACGACCCAGTTGATGCGCGACGTCATGTAGTCCGCGCCGAACTCGGCGGGGAGGTACTTCTTCGAGAGCGCGTGCGTGATGCCGCAGCCGAGCGCGGGCGTCGTCGGGTGCTCCGAGAGCGCGATCTCCTCGAGCTTGTTGAACACGAAGCTCTCCGTCCCGCCGAACCAGAACCTGCGCCCGAACACGTCCGTCCGGTGCGTGTTCTTGCCCTTCGTCGACGCGTACAGCTGCTCCGCGAGCTTCTGCGCCTCCGCGGGGAGCATCCCCGCGTTCGCCTGCAGCAGCAGCAGCACCGCGTGGCGCATGCCCGCGCCGTAGATGCGCGAGTAGTTGAACACCTTGGCCTCGTCGCGCGAGATGCCGAGGATGCTCGCCGTCTTGGAGTGCAGGTCCGTGCCCGCCGCCTTGGTGCCCTCGAGCGTCATCCACCCGAGCGCGGTCGCGCCGTGCAGCCCGAACTGCGCGTCGCCCATCGCGCTCGAGATCCAGAGCTCCTCCGAGTCGACGTCCGCGCCGACGATCGCGTACCCCGGCGGCGCGCGCACCATCGCCTTGAGCTCCGACCCGACGCGGTTCGCCTTGGCGTTGCTCGCCGTCAGCCACGTCTTCTCGATCGCGCGCCGCGTCACCGTGCCCATTGTGATCACCTGCGGCAGGATCACGCCCGCCTTGCTCTCTGCGCCCGGGCCTGTCGCGATGCCCATGTCGAGCCCCGCGCGCTGCCACACGACCATCTGGTTCATCACGCGGTCGCGCGCGCTTATCCAGTAGCTGCATTGGGCGTTCATGTCCAGCGCGCGACGCGCCTCGTCCCCGGGGCTCGTGAGGGTCCCGTCCTGCGCGTACTTGACGAACGTCTTGCCGAGAGGGCTGCCCACATTCGCCGTCTCGCCGTCCTTGTGCGGCAGCTTGTAGAACGTGAAGCCCTCCTGCAGTGTGAGTGTCTGCAGCGAGGCGTCGTTGGGATCGTGGAAGTCCAGCGCAGTTTGCCGCGTCGTATGCGTCGTGCCGTGAGGCACGCGATATGTCCATCCGTGCTCGCGTGAGTGGAAGAGAGGCCAGCCTTGCCACGACAGTCGGAGTAGCAGGGGCGAAATCCGGGTGCGGGGGGTGATGTCGACAGTTCCAGGAGCAACGTCCTTCTTTGGTTTGGCAAGCTCCCAATACCATTTTGGCCACAACACCTGGGGCGCCTTCTGGGCCCTAGCTTTCGCTTTGGGCGACTCGGCCGGATTGTGTTCCACGGGCGTCCAGTCGAGTTGCTCGAGCCAGGGGTCATCTGATTGCGGGCCCGCCCTTGAGAGCTCTTCCGCTAGGCCAAGGACTCTGTTGGACAGCTCCTCCGAGCGGTCTCCACGGGCTACAGCGTGCGCTATGTCCTCATGCTCTGACGTCATCCGGGAGGACCGGAGCAGCGGGAGCCCGTTCGTCTTTGAAAGTAAATTGACGATCTTCGACTTTCCTGGCGCCGGCGGGCGCACCCGTTCGCCCTCAATAACGAGGTACCATTTGTCTTGTTCGGAGTATCGAGGACACACCCCGTCGAAGGAGAGCTTGAGGATGAGCGGGAGCGTGCGTCTGATTATATGAGCGTTGAAGGGGCCAAGGGACGTCATCTCACTGTACCACGAGGGAATTAGGGCCCTGCCATTAGCCGTGGCTTGAGAGATCTACAATTTACGATTCAAAACCGAAGGATAGAAGAGATGCGATGCCACTCACTGCATCCGAGAGACCGATGCCTCTCGTCTTGCCCGCAACCTTGGGTGTCCAGTCCAACTGCTGCAACCAGACGTCGTCTCGCCACTTCTCGCTCTCCATCATATCCTTCGCCTCGTGCGCCAGATCTACGAGTTGGGCCTTGACGCCTTGCTCCAGAGTATGATACGTCCGCTCTGCGCTCTCCAAGTACCTTTCCCACTCCTCGTTGACCGTCAG